CAGTCTGGTCTACATAGTGAGTTCCAGGCTAGCTGGGGCTACAGGGAGACCCTGTCTCAAAAAAATAAAATAAAATAAAAATAAATGGGGCTGGAGAGATGGTTCAGAGGTTAAGAACACTTACTATTCTTGCAGAAGACCCAGGTTCAAATCCCAGCACCCACATGGCAGCTAACAACTGTCTGTAACTCCAGTTCCAGGGGGACTGTCCTCTGCGGGCATTGCATGACGTTGTGTCTTCCGAAGGCATTTCACGACATGGGTGCACTTACATATGGGCATAACACTCAGACACATAAAATAAAAAATATTAAAAAGAAAAAGTAAAACAAAGTAGAACTAAGGAGATAGCTCACTTGGTAAAATGTTTGCCCCTCTAACATGAGAACCTGATTTCAATCCTCAGCACCTGGGTAAAAATGCCAGCTGTAATGGCACACTTATAATCCCAGCACTGGGGAGGCAAAGACAGAAGGATTCCTGGGACTCTCTGACCAGTCAGTCTTGCCCAATGGTGAGCTCAGGCCTCCTTTGAAAAGGAGGTGGATAGTATTCCTGAGGGTGTCCTCTGGGTTCCACAAAGGTGGGCACACATGCATATAAACATGCACATACTTTTTTTTTTTTTTTGGTCTTTTTGAGTCAGGGTCTCCCTGTAGCCCCAGTTAGCCTGGAACTTGCTATATAGACCAATATATATACTTTAAAAAATTTTTAATATTTTTATTTTATGTGTATGAGTATATTGCCTGCATGTATGTAAGTGCACCGGTGTTGTGCAATACCCAAGGAGGTCAGAAGAAGGCGTCAGATTCCCCTGAAACTGGAGTTATAGACGGTTGTTAGCTGCCATGCGGGTGCTAAGAATTGAATCCGGGTCCTCTGCAAGAACAGCCAGTGCTCTTAACTGCTGAGCTAACTCTCCAGCCCCAACACACATATTTTTAAAAAATGATTTAGCAGTCTTGAGTGATGCATGGTGTCACACAAATCTCAGAGATTTGAAGGCTGAAGCAGGAGGATCAAAGCCAGCCTGGGCTTCATAGTGAATTTAAGGCCAGCCTATACCATATAATGAGATCCTGTCTCATTCTTCCCAGAACCAGCAGCCTAAGATTGAGTCTCAGATCTGCCACCACTAGCTGAGATTTGGGACAATTTATTTTAACCTCTCCACCACAGTGCCTTCTTGTATAAAGTGGGGATCTCTCTCCCCAAAGTTGGTTGTGGGATATTAGTATATGGTAGATATTTAGCATTCTTGGCATGAAGCCAAGAGCTTGATAAATGTTCCCTTTTAAAGGTCATGTGGAAGGGAGCGGAAATGGACATAATAACCTTTCACCCCTGCTTCCAGCTCTGACCTTTTTCATTGGCTTCTCTTGTCTCTGGATCTAATTTCAAATCCAGTTGCTTTTTTGTTAGAAGGGGATGGGCTACACCATGTGGACCCAGCACGTACGAGACCCACAGGAAGTACAGGTAGATGTTTGGGGAGTCTTTGAAGTCATTAAAGTCCACCCTCCTCCCCACCTCAGGACAAGGTCTCGCTCTGTAGCACTGTCTGACATAGAACTCACAGAGATCCACTTGCCTTTGCCTAGGATTTAAAGGCATGTACCACCATTCCTGTCTCTTTTTAATTTAATTTTTCCTTGAGGGACAGGTCTTGCTATGTAATCCAGGCTGGCCTAGAACTTTCAGTCCTCCTGCCTGAGGATTACAGGTGTGTGCCCCAGGCCTGGTTTCTTAAGCAGATGTTTACTAAATCTGTCTTGTTTTTTTGGAGATGATGCATCTACATTCATCCCCATCTGTGTACTTACTCTCTGCTGGGATAAATGATGAACAGGTTAACATCCGTGTACTTACTCTCTGCTGGGATAAATGATGAACAGGTTAACATCCGTGTACTTACTCTCTGCTGGGATAAATGATGAACAGGTTAACATCTGTGTACTTACTCTCTGCTGGGATAAATGATGAACAGGTTAAGATAGTTCCAGAGAATAGTGAAGAACCTCTCTATAAAAGATAAAATTTCACGGATGCTGGCATTAGACACCCCAAGTGTCGGTCCAAGCCATGCTGTGGGAATTTCCAGGCCCTGGCACCAAGCAGGGATGGTGTCTGTCTGAAGAGCAGACTCTCATCTGGCCTAGCTTACAGCTGGGTTGAGTGACCTCTGATAGGCCCTTCTCCCACCACAACCCAGTCAAGGCTGGGTGAGCCCTGCAGACAGGCAAGCATTCCTGCATGAAGAGAGAGCCTGAGTGGAGGAACTCCAGGAGGCCCACCCTTGACCTCTGCCACCCCTTTAATGCTAAAAGGCCCTCAGAGTATCATCTTCACCTCTACTCCCCAATTAGGGCCTAAAGGTGTTTTGATAGGGTTACTGACCAGCTAGGCAGTCCTGGCAACTCCCAATTCAAGAGGGGAACTGGCTTACTTAGGGACCTAAGCTACACTGTGGAGCCCAGCCTTCTGGCTTCCTCCCACCCTACCCTCTCCTCCTCTTAGAGTGAAATGGATTATGGATGCGAGACAGTTCTTGAGCCTGGGAACCAGCTGATGTCATTGCAGTGTCTCCATGGCGATTATTCCCCTTGATTATTATTTTTTCCCTTGATTATTCCCCTTGATTGCCTGACCTTTGCAAAGCCAGGAAATAGAAGGGAGCTGACTTGGCTTTGGTTTAGCACATTAGTGTTGACAGAGCACTTTCACAATCACCCTCACTGTGTGCAATAACACTTTTGCTTCAGGGCACTGTTGCCACAATTGATCCCCATTTTACAGATGTGGAAATGGAGGCAAGATCACCTAGCAGATGGAAGATTGAGCCTGTTAGCTCCTGCTCTTTCTGGTTTGGGGCCCATAATAAGTGACAAGTTTCCAGCCCCCCCTCCCATTTTGGCATGAGGGAGAGGGGATCTCACTGTATAACCCAAGCTAGTCTCAAACTCATGATCTTTTTACCTCTGCCTTTCAGTCTCAAGATTATAGGTACGGACTACAATGCCCAGCTTCCCTCTGTGTGTGTATGTGTGTGTTGAGACAGAGTCTCATATAGCCCAGGCTGGCTAACATTGCTATGTAGCCCAGGTTGTCCTTGAACTCCTAATCCTCCTTCCTCTACCTCCTAAGCATTGGGATTGTAGGCATGCACCACCACACCTGGCTTTTTCCATGTCTTGACCAGTTTCTGTGATGACTCTTTACAGATAAGGAAACCTTTTTACAGATAAGGAAACCTTCTGAATTTCTGCATCTGGAGCCATGTTAGAGCTATGTTTTTCTCTTTTCTTTCTTTTTTCTTTGTTTGAGACAAACCAAACCAAACCCTGTAGCCCCAGCTGGCCTGGAACTTGCTATGTAGACCAGGCTGGCCTTGAACTCACAGAGATCCATCTGTGTGCTGGTATTACGCCCAGCTGTTTTCATTTTTCTTAATCTTCCCTGATGTCTCCTTTCTGAAGGGCCCTCCAGTAGTCATGGGCTGTTCCAGGGCTTCCTTAGAAGGTTGGATGTTAGGCAGATTTGGGGCCCTCAGGGTGGTTTGAGCAAGACACCTTCCTGTAGCTGTAGGCAGGATGGCTGGAGGTGAAATCTCTATCAGCCATGTCTCTAACTTCTTCCTAGTTTGATGGGAACCAACTGCATTCCTAACTCCTAGACCTTATTTTCTTTTGAGACAGGGTCTCACTGTGTAGCTCTGGCTGGTCTGGAATTGGCTACATAGACCAAGCTAGTCTCAAACTCCCAAAGATCCACCAGCCTCTGCCTGCTGAGTACTGGGATTAAAGGTGTGCAAGACCACACCCAGCTAGACTTTTCTTTTTAATCTGTATCAAAGGAGGAAGAAGCCCCCTAAAGTAGGACCCCTGCCCTCTTGGGGACTCTGTGAGTCCCTTAGTGCAGCAGCTCAGCGCAGCGGTCAGAGACTCCAGGTCTGGAAGTTGCCTGGGCTTCACATTCTGGAAACTACCAACATCCTGGCTCCTGTGTCCTGGACTGACCCATTTTAGGACAGTGCAGCCCCTGTAGAGGAAATCCAGGCAGCTGGTGGGGCATGGAACAGATGGTGCTGAGGTGGACAGTGAATCTTCGAAGTCAAGAAATAGTTCCCCACCCCACAAGTATTTCCCAGCCTCCAGTCTGTTCTCTAAAATCCCCAGGGGAGGACAAGCTGTTCATCATATTTCAGTTCCTTTAGTGTCAGGGAAGTCCTTTCTGTAGTCTGTCTTGAGTGCCTCTAACGCTTAAATTTTTCATATAGTTTTCAGAAGAGGAGGGCAGCAGTGAGGTTGATGGGGATTTCCCTAGAGTTTGGACCCTTGTTCTGAGATGCTGTCTGTGCAGCACCAGTTTTCTCCCCTCCTGTGGTGTGTGCTCAGAAGTCAGCTTGGCAGGCTCCAGGAAGCTGCTCCAGCTGTCAGAGGCTCTTTGATGGAGCCTTCCCTGTGGCTGGCTCTCTGCACTCTTCTGGGCACCAACTTTGTCAATTGCCACTGCCCTTCCTTGCTCATCTGGTTGCTTAAAAACTCCCTGAAGCTCTTGGTGGGTCTTGCCTGTGTCCTGGCTGGGTTGAGGCCTGCTTTGTTCTTGAGTTTAGGCAAAGACCTTCTTCCTATAGCTACAGGCAGGAGTGAAGGGTCAGGAGTCTGGCAGATGACATCTTGCATCCTGTTGCCTCTGGTCCTTTGCAGCTAAGCAGTGTGACCTCAGGCAGGAGATGTTTGCTTCTTGAGGGCTCAGTTTCTGTGAGCATAGACTTAAGTCACAAACGCATTTTGCCTGTCTCCCTTCCCTCAGAATGTTTGAGGTGTTAATGGAGTTACTGCTCTGACACTTTTGGTGTTGAGGATTTCTGCCCAGGGTCTTTCTCCTGGCCCCTGCCCCCATCTACTGACTGGGTTCTGCCTGCCAGGGGCCTGAGGCTTGGCATACACCCTCGCCCTCCACCTGACCCCAGGTTCTCTTCTTCCCTCTGCCTCCAGGTTCGTTATAAGGAGGAGTTTGAGAAAAACAAGGGCAAAGGCTTCAGTGTGGTGGCAGACACGCCCGAACTGCAGAGAATCAAGAAGACCCAGGACCAGATCAGCAACGTGAGCCCTGCCCCTGCCCTCCTTTCCAGTCCCCTCTCTCTCAGCCTGACAGACATGAACAGGCCCAACTTCCTCCTCTGGTCCTGCCTCCTCAAGAAGGGTGTGTGGAGGAGAGGGAGGGTTGGGGTTTCCCAGGTGCTTTTTCTTTGCTCCCCCAGGCTCCTTCTTTGCCACACACTTGCCCAAATGGCATTTCCTCCCTAAAGGGGCTGCCCTTTTATGGGAGGCGGTGCTAAGTCACCTCCCACTCTCTGAGCTGCTTGTCTTTTTCCAGGGTTTGGTAGGTGTCAGAGTGAAGACTGGATGCTTGTCTTAGCCCCAGGGTCAAAGTTGGGGGTGGGGAGGGCTGCCTCCTGTCAGCTTCTGGGTGCTAACACTGCAGTCATTTCCGCCCTCCCTTTGCCACCTCCCACCTCAGCTCACTCTTCCTTCCTGTGTGAAAACCCAGCCGCCTTTGCCCACTGTCCCCACACCCGCTCCAGGCCCTTGCAGGCCTGGGCTGGTCAGCTGTGTCTGGCTGTTACATGGGTGGGCGTGGGGAGCAAAGGGTGGTCCTCAGCAACAGCTGGGACTAAACAGGCCTGGGTTTCCTTTGCAGAGCCATAGACCAGCAGCCTGGGTGCCTATGGGCTTGCTGGGGTCTGATGTGGGAGTATGTGGGAATTGGGTACTGCTATGAGTGATGACCACAGAACATGGGCAGGAGCCTGAGCACAGGGTTATAGTACATGCCCAGTCAGCTGAATCAAGGGAGTCCTATAAATGAAAGATCAGGCAGGCCATTGTGCTCATGTCTATAACAAGAAGAGGTCCACCAGTTGCTTGTGTCCCTGTGGGTTGAGGGACTGGGGATGGGGTAGGTAGAACACAGGTTCAGATGGCCCGCTAATACCCACCCTCTAGGCTCCACCTCCCTCTCCATCCTGCCACTTGACCACTCTAAGAAGTTAGCCACGTTGTCTCAAGTGGGCTCTAATAGAGGATCAGGTAGCTTCCAGAAGCACAGGGCAGCTAACAGAACCACCCCTGCCCAGGTTGGTAGCTTTCAAATTCTGACCTCTGCCTGTAATAAATACATTTTCTGTGTGTGATGGCACATGCCTGTAATCCCAGCACTTGGGAGGCTGAAGTAGGAGAATCACGGATTCAAGCCAGCCTAGGCTACATAAGGAGACCCTTTCTGAAACCGAAGCAAACTAAAAGAAGCCTTTTAGAGAAAACAAGATCCAAATGTTGATGATGCCAGGCATGGTGGTGGTTGCCTGCAGTCAGTCCTATGGAGGTTGAGGCAAGAAGATTGAGAGCCGAAGCCATCTTGGGCTACATAATGAGACCCTGTGTGAAACAAAGAAGACTTCATGGATAGGGACTAAAGATGTAGCTCAGTGGTGGGGCACCTGCCTAGCATGCAGTAGGCCCAGAGTTCCCTCCCCAGCACTACAGACAGGGAAAAAAAGGGAAAAAACAAAAAGCCCCCAAAGTGTCATGGATAAGCACTTTCTATTTGGAGGGCTCATTCAGCTCTTTTCTGCTCTCATATCATAAAGATGCTGGGCGCAGACTTACTAAATGGGTTTCACAACCCAGTTGTTTAGCTGCCTGTTTGAAATGAGTGGCCTGAGGAAGTAGAGTGCTTCCCTTGGGTGAGGAGGGCGGTCCTCAGAGGGCTGTAACCCCTCTTTGCCTCCAAGAAAGCCTGTTACCGTTGCCCACTTCCAGCCAGGGTCTGGCTCATGCCCTGGTGCTTCTCTTCTGGCCCAGACCACAAAAAGAGTAACCAGGGGTTACTCTGTAAGCGCTCCCTAGATGGAAAGTGGGGGAGCAGTGTGGCTTCGGGTGCTAGGGAAAACATGGAATGGCTTACAACCCTGGGATCTTGTGACTTTCATCATGAGGTTCTCCCATCCGCCTTGCCAATCTCTAGCACAACTTAGTTCATTGCTTCACCCTGTGAGCTTTAGAGGAAGGGAAACAAGCAAAAGGAAGCCCAGTCATCCCTGCCTGGCCTTCTGGAAGGCTTCCAGAATATTCCACAGCCAGCCTGTTTCACCTGCCCTCCTGTTATTGGAGGTGTTAATGTCTGAGGAGTGACAAAAACCTACTGTGGCCAGGATATCCACACTCAGGAGATAGCATCTGATCAGTGACCACAGAGCTGCAATTAGCTGATTGTCCTTTCTCTGAGCTGGGGGAGGTGCCCTGAACCTCATCAGGTGGCTGCTCTTGCTGGAGCTGGGACCTGTGAGCTGTGACCACAAAACTACCTATGAAGTGTGACCACAAAGCTGGAAGTCTCTCTCTTGGTTTTAGTTGTAATGCAGATAAAAATCTGTCTCCATGAGTGCTCCCCTACCCTAGTCAGCTGGTCGAGGACTTAGCATGCACAAGGACTGGTGGGTTCCGTCTGTACCCCCACCACACACACAAAAGAGCCCCTTGTGGTCATAGAGCATTTTGTGAAAGTGCAGTCTTTCAGTTCCCCCAAAGGCCAGGTTGGCACCCCTGGACTGGGGCCTGAGATTTAGCATTATAACTTTGGTACCTACTGAAGTCTGAAAGCTATCACTTAAACTCCACAGGCTTCACCAGCCCCAAGTCAGAGGATGTCAGACCTGGCTGTGTCCCAGAACTCCCGAGGGAACTTTAAACCACAGGCAGAACTGTCGCTAAGTTGTGCCAACTTTCTAGAAGAGCTCTGGGGAAGATGGTGTTTAGAGCCACACTATGTATTCTGTTTCCAAAATAGTGTCCCTGTATGTGGCTTGTCGCTTCCCAGATTAGCACCTAATGATTGGTGGTTGTTTCTGAAGGTCAGACTGGCCTGTAGAGATGAAGATTGGCTTCCCTGGAGGAATAGCTGCAGACAAGACTTTTCACTGGCCAGAGCAGTTGAAAAACAGTGTTTAGTTTCCTCTGGGAGTGTTTGCTTGGCAATGTGTGGTCTGTCCTCAGTCCTGTGTGAGGCATGCCAACTGGAATGCAACTGTCAGTCCCCAACTGGTGGGCAACTCTGAGCCTCAGTTTCCTTGTCTAAAAATCAGGAGCAGTAGGTCCTGCCTTGAAAGTGATTGTGAGGAAAATGCCAAGCGCTTGGCCTGCGATGAATGCTATCAGAAGTATTATTCAGAGGCAGGCCTGTCTGCTTTTTACACTGTGAGTAAGGAAGGGACACATAGGGCCTGGGGATGCATCTCAGTGGTGAAATGTAGATTAGCATGTGCAAGACCATGAGGTCCACCCCAGGAGAGAGAGAGGAGAGGACACACACATAGTTTAGCTGAATTCGGCAATTGCCTGATACTAAAAATGTATAGGAAGTTTTGAGGAAAGACTAGTAAATTATATACCTGTTAATAATATTTCTTCATTAAAGGTGTTTAAAGGGTTGAGGGGCCGTGGCCCTGCACTGTGATGTGAGCAGCTGAGGGGCCTTAGGTTCATAGACTTGATGTTTGCTCTTGCCCTCTAAGGACCTTAATGCATGAGAGGACTCCTTGCTGGAGCCCCTTTATGGAGCCTTGTTTTTACTTGTTTACATGTCTATACAGTTGTTTGTATACAATTTTTTATACTTTTTTTTGGCGCTGAGAATCAAACCTAAAGCTTCTCCCTTGCTAAGCATTCCCTCTCACTGAACTACAGTCAGGCCATGACTTTGTGTCTTTTCACCTTTTCTCTTATGAAACATAGTACATTGTAGCACATGTAGTAAACAGGTGTTTTCTCATCATGCAAATCAAGAACAGGATTGAGAGTGTTGTTGAGTGGTGAACATTTGCTTTACATGCTTGAGGCCTTGGGCTTGATCCTGGTGCTGGGTGTGTGTGTGTGTGTGTGTGTGTGTGTGTATGTGTGTGTGTGTAATTTTAGCATTAGAACTGTAGTGATCTAAGTACCTAGCTAGCTAGTGACGCAAAGTGAGGAGAGGCACACAGAGGTGAGTGGTGAAAGGACTGATGCCACACTATTAGAGCTCCACACTGGCTAATGCCCATGGGATGGTAAAGCTATAAACTTGGCAGGCATCTTTGCTTACAAGTAAAAATCCTTTGCTTTTCTCTCAGTTAAAAGTAATTTCCATTTTATTTTTTATTTTTTTATTTTTTTGGTCTTTTTGAGACAGGGTCTCCCTGTAGACCCAGCTATCCTGGAACTCACTATGTAGACCAGGCTGGCCTCGAACTCACAGAGATCCGCCTGCCTCTGCCTCCCAAGTGCTGGGATTAAAGGCGTGCGCCACCATGCCCGGCTTATTTTTATTTTTTTAATAGTTTATTATTTTTATTCCACATGTATGAGTGTATTGCCTACATGTATGTAAGTGCACCCATTTTGTGCAATGCCTGCAGAGGTCAGAAGAGAGCATCGAATTCCCTGGAACTGGAGTTATGGACAGTTGTTAGCCACCATGTGGGTGCTGGAAATTGAACCTGGGTCTTCTGCCAGAGCAGTCAGTGCTCTTAACCACTGAGCCATCCCTCCAGCTCCTATGCATTAAATTAGTTTTAGTCTGTAGTGTCTGGCCTGATACACATAGTAAGTAGTTTTTGGGTGTGGTGGGACACATCCATAATCCCAGTACTCAGGAGGTTGAGGCAGGAAGGTGGCTGAGAGTTCAAGGCCAGCCTAGATGACATAGTGAGACCCTGTCAAAAAAAAAAAAAAAGAAAGAAAATTAAAATTTCCCAGAGTGAAAAGGTCTGGAGGCAGATTTATGGGCTAATTTTCTAGTTTGACTTTAAAAGAACGTACTTTTATTCATATTGTTTCTGAGACATTACTCACATTGTAGCCAAGGCTGGCCTGAGACTGGTTCTTCCTGCTTCAGTGCTGGGATTACATATAAGGCCAGGCATGGTGGCACACACCTTTAAGCCTGGCACTAAGAAAGCTGAGGCAGGGGGATCTCTGAGTTCAAGACCAACCTGGTGTGCATAGTGTGTTCCAGGCCTGCTGGGGCTACATAGTGAGACCCTGTCTCAAAAAAACAAAAAAGAAAA